TTTGGCACTGTGGGACTTGCGGCAAGGCTGGGCATAATGCAAGGACCTGTCAGGAGGTAATTGAGGTTAATATGGAAGAGTATAGTGACTGATTTTAATTGATCTAATAGGTTGTGGTGTTTTTATTGCTGATTTAATTGAGAAGGTTAGGATTTTTGGGACACTCGCTTATCTGGGACACTCGCTTATCAAATACGTTAATAGTTATTTATTTAAAGCTATTCAGGATTCTGTTTATTGAAGTGGGACTGAAAACATCTTCCTGGCCGACATGCCTTTTTTTCTCTGCAATATTGTTGTAAACAAATGTTTCTTTCTCACTTTCTGAATTGACTGAAGATTTCGTTGCCCTACGCATTGACCCCTAGTGCTCACAGACTCGAGCATGGGGTAAGACGGTCTAGAGACCCTTCCAAATATGGGAACAGAATATTTGCCGGGTAATAATGACTCCGTGATCGCCCACAATCCGGCTCCGCGCCATGTTCGTTCGTGTCTAGTACTTACTTAAATGCCAAGATGTTTAAATAAGGATCAAGACAAGGGATAAGAGAAAGCCCCACTTCAAACTAACTGTGAGTTCACCGTGAGTTCACCGTGAGTTCACTGCGCTAAAGTAGGGCCCAAGCTGTCGGAGACTTCTTTGACTGGATCGCGAAGACGTTGGTACTTGCTTGTTCTGCAGAATCCCCAACCTTTCCGCGCCTTGTATTGATCATGTGCTTTGCTTGCTCCGCCTAGCCGCATCACATTAGGGCGTGAAAACGGAGAAGGCGAAGATAACCAAGGTCTACGATTGGACGTCGTTTGATCTCAAGCTAAAATCAGCATTTCTTGGCCAACAAACTGTTGCAGAACCAAATGGTACTTGTTAATCTTGTTTCCTCCAGCCATCCCACCGAAGGCTCGGAGAGGAGTTTTTTTTTTTAATCTCAATTTTGCTCCATATATTCCGTAGGCCAATGAGCATTTCCTGACTAGGGTCCCCACGTCGTATTGGAACACTTGTTCCTCTAACCCTCACCCGTCGGCTTTCTCCCTTATGTGGTTTGGGTGCTTCTCGCAGTGGGTCTAGCATCTGTGAATCACTGAGGTTAGACATGGGCCCAGCAGGCTTTATGTGACAGAATTTCTAGGATCTTGCAGCATGTTGGACCTTGATGCTGAGCATCGCTTCCTGAATCAGAATGTGAATGATCAAAGGTTCCAACGACACGATTCACAGGGTGGACACTTCACCTGGGAGGTAATATAACAGACATCACAGGTCCGCGAAGGATGTGTTAAATATCTAAAGAAAAAAAGTCATGAACTGTCCAAAGATTTCACATTTTGTTCAAAGCATTGCAAACACTGTGGCTCGGTTGTCCAGCTTTTGGAGATGGCTCATCATTCGTCAGGGCAGAACTGGCATTTCATGTATTCACACAACGCTAGTGAGCATTCAGTATCAAGCTTACTTCCCCCATTGTATTGGGACTCTTTCGCAAGTGCTACAGCACCTTCGTCTCAGGACCTCGTGCGCACAGCGCCCTGGCCGAGCCAAGACAATTCTATGATTCCTCTTGACGACTCTATCGTGGCATATCCATATCACAGTTCGCTGTCGGATCCCACCCTATACTACTGGCCTTTCTGGAGTCCCTGGGAAGCCAGTTACTGGTTTGCCGACTCTCAAGAGTATTCCAACTGCTACAGTCTTCCTCCCCAAGCTGTTTTGGAAACAACTCCATTTGCATTCGTTCATGACGCCTTACATCAACAATCCACTCTACCATATATCCCCAATGGCAAAGGTTTCGATGCGGGAGTCGTCGACCTAGGCTTCCTGGCGCCAGATGAAAGATACATTGTCGAATCGAGGCTGGAAAACATCAAGTGGAAGTTTATTCAAGTGGGATATGCGATATACTGGAAGCCCATGACCATATCTAGACTGGCAATGAAATTAAGCAGGATGCGAGAGAAGCACAAAGTCCTGGAGCATATCATACCAGTGAGGCCGCATGGAGGGTTGAAAGCTTCATAGACGCTACGGAGTGTTCTGCATGGGACTGGACATGGATTGCAGCAACATGTTATAAGGCGCAATCCGCAAGGCCTGCTGGAAAACTGTCGAGTCATAGATTTTACCATAGATCAATACAGTACTGCACCTACAACAGAGCAATCTGTTGTGGCACCGGTTCATTTCACTTTCAACATGCATGAGGCGAGGCCAACGCGACTCCAGCGCCTAAAGTAAAACTCAAGCAAAGGGCCGGTGCCAGGAGCCGAACACTTATGCATTTCTGTCATTAGTTCGCTGCTGGTCAAACCTTGTGTGCCGAAGTTGAGGAGTAACGCAGTTGAGCACGAAGCTGATATGCCCTGATCTTGATCCCCAATTGCTGGGTGCGAATTGCATGGTGAAAGGGGAGTCTGGCGATTAGAGGCCCTTGAACAGTTAAATGACGTACTTGTCCTCATAATTCCGCCACCAAGCCTGCTGCTTAGTCACACGAGAGTTGATACCAACTCCTCAAAGGAAAGCTCAGCCATGAAGAACTCGCTGGCCAACGCTAGGAGCTCGGTATCGCGGAAGATATAGAATCCTTAATTCGCAACTTAGCACTGGGATGCTGAGTTACGGTGCATGCCAGGATTTCTATCTAGTTCCGGATTGTCTAGGAGCTTCACGTTACAGCTGAAGTCGTGCTTGTCGCAGACTATCACGGGTAAGCAGCGACTGAGTGGTGGGTATTTAGGTTGGGCAACCAAAGGGCCCCAAATTGCTGCATTGATTCAACGGTCGCGTCGTCTGCCATCTGAGTCTTGTTGAGAGCGTATAGGTACAGTTAAAAGCGGCCACATACCGCGTATAGTGAAATGAGAGAAAATCGATTGTACCAATAAAACAGCCAGATATATATAAGTGGGATCGGAGAATGATACTATACATTCACGCAATAGGCAGAAATTGTGGAATGAGAAACATTGCTCTTGTTGACGAAAAGGGTCATAGGGCGTCTGAGTAAGAGCACTAGCCAAGAATAGAACGAGGATATTTCAGATTAACGTATACTTGTAGATTTGACTGGCAGTATGATCTTAGGCTCACCTAAACTGTTGATAAATACCTCAATGTCCTTGCTAAGCTCAACTAGTCACCAACCGTCTCCGAAAGGATACTTCGTCGCATGATGACTCGCCGTAAGCCCGAGAAGGTTTTAGCCGGCAAAACGTTTCTACTAACAGAGAATGCAAAAAGGGTTGAAGGACTCGAGGATAAAATTAAGGAATATGAAGGCAAAATCCATAAAACTATAAAGAATATATCTTGCGTTGTTTGCTTGCCAGACGAACGTGTAGAATTGTGGGAGGTTCCAGACAAAAAGAAGAATAGCCCAGTATGGAGAGCTTATCAAGCTGGCAAAACATTTGTAGATACTACCTCCTTCGATTCTTTAACTCACGACATCGAATCGTGGAGACCTACTGAATTCATCCCGCCGGTACCTACACAACAGACTCAACGGAAGAGTTCAGTTTGTTTGGAAAGGAAATCCTTGGTCCTCGACACTATATCCGTCTCAAACAAAGATGCGCCGAATGATGAAGCGAGTGGTCCTGAACGGTTTACTGCGCCGAACATTTCAAAGTTGACTCTGCCAACTAAAATGGCCGTGGAAGAGCAGGCGTCTTCAGTTTCCAATTCAACTGCAGAGGGCTTGGGAAATATCCAACAAAAGCTGCAATATTTAAGGACAAGCCTTGACAGCCAGATGGACAAACTGACCAGGCTGTCAGCAGAGAACAGGTCATGGGTGCAGGCCCTCAACGATATTGAACAGGTAAGCTGCGATTCCGGTTACTATTATCTCCAAGCTCAACTGTGGCAAGGTCATCATAAGGATCGAGGTACTGTCTGAATCCGATAATGAGGACTCATAAAATAAGCAAGGTCCAGGTCAGTTGTTGGGTAGGAGAGTCGTCGGTGGCACTCATTTAGTGTAGTTTTGCGAGCAGGTAGTATTACCAATCTACTCAAACTAAATCGGCGATATCATATTGCTCAACAGGGCTTTGATTGGGCCCACTCCGTAGAGAACAAAGCAGGTAGCAGTCTCGATTTACCCTACAGATCCCCGGACCTCATACAATAGAAGCCTTCCAATAAATGCACTCCTGCTTAGGCACCAATCTTCTCACTATAGCCAGGTTCGTGTAGAGTCTCCACAGCCACAGCTATATCGAGAGCCAGGTTGTTGTTCTTGCATACATACATACATACATACATACATACACGTGTATATAGATGATCACAATTGCATCTCCTTTACCCATCGAAACTAATGATGACGCTCTATGGGAGAGGGTCTTTTTGCAGCACTCTATGAGGATAAGGTGACGGACGAGCTCAGATCAACCGTCAACACGTTCCAAGTTCGTTAGAAGGATATCTCATCATTATCATGGACTTCGGAAAAATCTGAATTGTACCAAGAACTATGCTCAAGCGGCTACAAAGCCAATAAAGACGGCACCCAAAACAGCCGCAGCAGCGGCGACGCTTCGCTGGACGTCTACACTAGCCGCGCTATTGCCGCTGCCGTCACCGCTATCGCTGCCTTCATTCAGGTGTGTTACAGCCTCTTTCATAGCGCTCAGCACTCGAGAATTCACTTCCTCAATCTTGTCTGAGATCAATGTTTCTGATCCGTCAAAAGCTGTGCTGATGGCGGACGCCTTATCCTTGATTAGCGTTTCACCATGGTCCAGTAAGCTGCTGCCCTTCTCACTTGCTTTGCTCGCAAGCAGTTCTAAAGAAGAAAGCAAGCTATCGAGGTCACGCTCAGCGTTGCTGTGAGGGGGTGCCGTGATCGTGGGACTAGTCGAATCCATCGTGTGAGATTTCTCAACCGACCCTCTGTCACTATCCAGATTGATTAGAACATGCCTTGAAAGGAGTCATATACAAGTAACCGACGTCTTATGCGGGGCCTCTTCGGCCACTGCAAGGTTCACCAAGGTGAGTGCGAGAATTGTGTAATAGCGCATATTGATCAGGCACAATCGAGGACCAGATGGGGCGTCAGTAGGAAGGGTCAGCTCAGGAGAGCGAGCAAGAAGCTCGTGAATGTATTTTATACTGGTGCCTCTCACAGTGCCTGTTCAGAAAGAAGAGTTGGCCTCATTGGCAACTGTGACACTTCGTTACAATTATAGCATCATTTTGTATACGATGTTACATCATATATCCTTACTGGAAATTTGTGGTCCGGAGTGTTTTGGGCTTAACCTGCCGCCGTTCTAGTCTGCATAACGCATCATGTAGGGTCATGCTGACTCACGTCTGTGAATAAGAGTTGCATATACCGCAGGTTGACTCACAAGTAGAAGGGTAACGCATCGTATGTTGCTAGAATTAAATTCCCCCTCTACGTGGCGGACCAATCCGAAAATATCTGCCTTTACGGAAGAGGAATTCGATAAATGAGAATTCGCTTTCAAGAAATCTATTAATACAAAATTTACAGACGTATGTACACATGACTAGATTCGCGAATTTTCTATATATAAATAGGGAAAACGAACGTTGTTGAATTGAAGGCAATCTCACGGGCACGTCATGCAAGCCAAGGCGCCCTAAGATTGAGCATATGGGTCAGAAGCATACCGTCAAGAACACGATTTCACAGCAAACAGATGGATGAATATACCTAACTGTACCCATGGACCAAGCACACGTAAGACATGAGAAATATCTCGCGTGTGACGACCCGAGCGTCATGGTGTCTGGCTACTGTCGCTTACAGGTTAGCTCCATATTTCTGCAGGAATCGAATTCACACGTCCGGGTTCAAGAAGCTCAAGGCGAAATTGTCGTAGAGTAGCTAGCTCCTTTGGAGAAATAGATCTTTTAAGCCGTGAAATGTACCCAAACGCTTTGCTCCGTATTCCACCAACCTTGACTACAACATGGTTCGTTCAAAACACAGCTCAGCATTCCCCAAGGTGACGCCCAAGGTGACCTATCCCACCGATCATACTTACATCGTGGTCTTGATTCTCTTTGCCTGCATTCTTTATCTTCTTGAAGCATTATATAAAAAGGTTCTTTCCCTCGCCAAACTTGCTTTTACTCAGCAGTTCGAGAAGAAACAAAAACCTCAAGTAGGCAATGTTTGAGTACTAAAAACCAACCATAAAGCCTTTACTCTTATCCAACCTTTCAACAAGCGAATCGCTGCTCGTGTTGTGCGCCATTACCATACACAACTGAGCCATGCCCCAACATAACACAAAGCCCAGCTGCCCCATCATTAGGCAAGTCTCTGGTCACCGCGGAAATTCTAGTCAGTATCGAGGGTCAATTTTTGAATGCGACATCCTCATTATAGGTGCCGGTGCTGCCGGCCTAGCGGCGGCGGCAGCCGTGCAAGACCAAGGGCGCAGAGTTATCCTTGTTGAGAAGGAGGACTATGTCGGCGGCACCACTTTCAGGTCCGGTGGCTGCATGTGGATGCCCAACAATTTCCGTATGCAAGAGCTTGGGATCGAGGATAGCAAAGAGCAGGCTGAACGCTACATTGCCGCTGTAGGGAAGGCTACAAGCCCATGTCTCGACGAAGACATTGTCCTTCGGGATCTGCAGAACAGACGGCTGAAGGCTTTCCTGACGCAGGGACCGGAGATGGCAAAGTATTTCAGAAATCAGGGTTTTCGCTGGATGGCCACCCCATCCAAGTTTCCAGATTATCACCCACATATGGAAGGAGCGGTCGCGTATGGCCGCACTTTGGATCCTGAAGTTTTCGATGCAGCGAGTTTGGAAGGCTGGGTGAGATACCTTCAAGTGCAGGAAAACGTACCTGTTATTTCCCGATTCGAAGACTTATGTGTCTTGACGAGGCGGCCTTTTTCCACGGGCTGTGCCACTAAAACAGTGGCTCCGCCTCAGGATATGGAGAGACCGATGTCTATGGGTCAGTCGCTGATCGCTCAGCTCCTCAAGATATGCAAGGAGCACAGCAACGTGACCATCTGGACTCGATGCGAGCTACAAGAGCTCTTGGTATCTGATCTTGATGGCAGGGTGATTGGAGCAAAGGTCCTGTGTGGACGTAGCGAAAAGCCGGTCCACATCCACGCATCATTGGGCGTGGTGCTGACCACAGGAGGTTTCTCTCAGAATCAGAAGATGAGAGATACATACCTCGGAATCGGATCTACCGACGGAAGAGCCTCAAAGATATCAACCATGGCGGGTTGGAGTCTTGCTGCTCCCGGAGACATTGGCATTGCGCTTCAAGTCAGCCAAAGGCTTCACGCTGACAGTGCGCAGCTAGACCAAGTCTGGGGTATCCCCACCATGATCAACCCTGGAACAGGGAAAGTAACGGAAGCCATGTTTGCCATATCGAAGCCTTTTTCCTTCGTAGTAGATGGCTATGGACGCCGTTTCTTCTCCGAATCCCAACCTTACGGTGCTGCTGTTAGGTCCATGTACGAAAGGGCGAAGAAAGGCAGCAGGACAGCCGAATTTTGGCTTATTTTCGATGACAAATACATGCAGGCATATCCTATTGGGGGGCTCCAAAGTCCATGGTTAATTGACCAAGCTGTCGAAAAAGGCCTCCTGGTACGCTCAGATACCGTTGATGGTTTATCAAAGCAGATTCTGGTACCAAATCAGAGTCTACAGGCAACCTTGAGTGAATGGAACGAGATGTGCGACGGTGGCCGTGACAAGCACTTCCACAGGGGCGAGGATAGATACCAGCAGTTTATCGGCGATCCAGATGTCACACCAAACCCTTATATGGGCCCCGTCAAAGAGAGCCCTTTCTATGCCATCAAGATCTTCCCTGGAGATGCTGGCACAAGAGGTGGACCTCTAACTGACGAATTCGCAAGAGTGCTTAGGAAAAATGGCGATGTGATTCACGGCCTGTTTGCTGGTGGGAATGCATCCGCTGCCCTTCTTGAATCGCAAGGCGCGGGCACGACGCTCGCTCCTGCAATGACTGAGGGTTTCATCGCCGTGACTTACATGTTGTCTCTGGCTAGTGCAGCCAGTTCTAGCTAAAGAGTCATATATGTCAGGCAACTTCTCGTCCAACAAAAATTACATAGTAGTGTAAGGGATGCCAGCAGAGCAAGCTGTAGCAAGACGCTCTTTTGTAAAAGTAGCCACCAATGGCTTACTACAAGATGTCCTCAACTTTATATACATACTTTTGCTTGATTGCTGTGACTAATTACTCGAACGAGCATCCATAAATCGCGCCCTTTGATGCAGGTGATGTATGCCACCACCGTGTTGAGAATAAGATGAAGATCATGTTCTACATTAACACCTCGCTGACCCCCTAGCAAACAATTCATCTAGCAAACAGTCATTTTTGCTATGTCTCCGTATCAAGGAAGCGATTATGTCCTTCTTTGATAGTGAATTCTTGATGCAAACCCCAAAAATGTCTTTACAGCTCCATAGTTGATGCCCAATACTCAGTGACCCTAGGGAGATCCGATGACTTGCGACCTATTTCACAATAGAGACAACTTCTTTCCTCTTGTCGATGCTTATGTCCTCCTACTTTAGAAGTAATGCTTTTTGCCATGTGACGTCCCGAGATAGTGGGTGTCGCTCGGGTCTTGTGCATCATACTGTTGGCTTTAACCGTTAGAGTTTTGACGATGTCTTTTTCTGGACGCATTGGATACGATTCTATAAATAGTTTAGTGATGGATATATTATAGGCAAAAGATCCCTAACTGCACTGCCACTTCTTACCTTTCTTAAGCTACACTTACACCCAATGATTCAGAGTGCGGCACGACAGAAGTGAAAGAGAAAAGAGAAGGTGTAATGCTCCGGCGGTAGACTAGAGTCCTCCTCAATTGAGCCTGACAGCGACACAAGTATTATGTTGGTTTTTGACGACATTAACCATTACGTGATGCAGCATCCCAGTTAGACAAGCCACCAGCCACTGGAAGTCAAATGGGACGATTCAACTTGGTGTGACTTTCCAAGTTACGTGAGAAGCATTTTAAAGAAAACACAAATGAATTACTAAAACACTCCGCAGCCGGACCGATACTAATCTCATACTCCACCTGTATTCAACAGCTACATTCGGAGTAGTGTGAATCTTATGGATGTATATTCGTGGGCTGCTTTATAAATAGCAAAGCATCTGCTACGTATATAAGTGATGCAATTTTACTGAGCGCATGAAGCAAAACCTTACTTCACAGTACGTGTATTCGATCCATTGGTGCGGGTTGTTGTATCCGTCATGGTATTTTGCAAAATCTGCCCTCATAAAACTGGTTGAAAAGTTAAGCATAAATTCACTTGGTGTATCTGTCTGGCAACGCCTTTGGTCGCTAGCATCTGTAACATTGAGCGGGCTCCACCATGGAGCAGGGTGTGACCACAGCACGGATCTGCCCAGGGCGTCACTCCAGCGAACATCACGCCGGGAAGAAAAAATGCGGACATTTCAAGGATCCCTATTCCTAGTGTTCGAAGGAAGCTTGAACCCACCCAGCCGTCCGAATGTCGATACTTTGGAAGGTTTTGTGGCTCTCCGTAAACGATGGAGTTCTTCATCACAAACACGCTGATGCACAGGATGTGTCATTTGAATGTATGCTTGTGGGACGCATCGTTCTGGGTAGGCGTTGAAAAAACTATTGTAACCTCCGTCTAGGATGTAAATGTCAGGGTACAAGAGAGCCGGGTACCGCTCGATATCATATTGCCGATCATTTGACCGTATACGATCTGCCACTAGGGGTGAACGATACTGCGAAAATTCGCAATACAGGCAAATGGATGTCCGCCCTTGATCGGACTTGCCGGGAATCAAATCATCAAAGAAATTTGTATCTACGATGCTTCCAAATCGTGGCGCAAGACTAATCGCGCCATCAATGTGGCCTCCCTCATATTCGTACCTAAAACGGCAGTCAACAATGATCAAACGATCGAAGCACAGATCCAGCTTGCGATCTATGCAACCAAGAAGAGTTTCTTTCGTGATGCGCGGGAAGCTGTCGGTATAGCTGAGAGGTAAGGTTGGAATTTTTTCACGATGATTTAGCTCGTCACTTTCTGCCATAATAGGAGCTTGCATGTTTTTTACCTAGTGGTACAAAAGGGAGAAAGTCAAGTTATGGTCTGGCTCTTATATGATGGAGTCAAGGAAGGCTCCTCAATTCCGCACATCATCAAAGAATCACGTTTCGATAAATAAAACTGGTACCTTTAGCACCAGTATCTTTAGCGTAGGTCCAGACTGCGCTGCTAAATTTATTGATATATATTATGGTCTATGGTCAAATTCTATTGAAAAGTACGGAACAATGATTTAAGCGACTTTACTGTTAACGTGTCTAGGGTACGGATTCATGCGGCATGGCTGACTCTTCACGTCGGCACAGTTTTTCTTTTCAGATACTCATACGGTACGCGTCCCCACCATTTATGCTCACGACGCGTTGACAGTGTCGTCAGTTTCCACCAATCCATATTCTGTTCTACACATCAAGTTCGATGAGACGAGGTTCAAAATTGCGTTCAATTTTGGTAACTCTAGGTTTCAATAACCCGAACGAGTTGCTTGGGGGTGAATGGCAACGTGGTTGGTAAGAGGATTCACCCGGTGGAGCGGGGCCTCTGGTGGAGACTATGAACTCACAAGCTACATGAGTTCACAAGCTTCATGAGTTCACACGCTAATAGCTAATTTCACACGCTAATAGCTGATTTTACACGCTAATAGCTGATTTTACACGCTAATGGCTTAGTTTGCATGCTGGTATCGCATTCGAGCTTGGCGTATCCACTGGATATTCATGAACGTCAGGGTAAGGTAAGATGACGGAAGAGTCCGACAATGTACCTATCATGTAACGCCCTCTCTACTGAGCACATGGCGGTATCGGTTTAGGTCCAGAAATCTACATTGATAGTACATGATGTGTCTGGAAAGACTGTTCATCCGTGGTCGTGGATCCTCATCAACCGCGGACTAGTGAAACGTGTTGGTGAAAAAAATAGCCTCGTCGCTTGGCCGCTGCTATTCACCGTTTTTCCCTAACGGATAAGGTCTGACTGAGTCTATAACCATATGGTGCCTGTCATTGGGAAAACTCTACGAGAGAACCACAGGTGTCAAAATCGACTACATTGTAGAAGGCTGAGCGTTTCGAAAGCACCAAAGTTGATTATTGCTTGCTGCGCAGCAAGATAGACAATTCACATCATGAACCATTTCATTACTGCTCTGCGAGATAGCTCGTTCCTGCAGGTGGGTCGAGCGTGGGAACGCAGAGAAAATGGAGAGGGCGCTAGTTGAAAAGAGGTTTAGTGTGAAGGGATCCCGTTGGTACATACATCAGTGACCCGCAATTAGACAAGGCAAGGAAAAGAAGTACCATCTTTGTCCAGAAGTCACATATCGCTGAACGAATTGGACATTACAGATGCTGGGGGTCCTTATTAAAAGTCAAGACGCGTCTGGGAGAGTGAATGGCTTTTATAACTTCGACCAGTTCTCATTTTTGTAGCCACGTTAAGTCGCGCCCTATCTTCACCATTCTCATTGTCTTTTTACGCCCCATAACCTTATACGTCCATACACCATGCCACCCCATGAGCATCATTTCCAAATGCCTCCTAACCATAATCCCCCGCCCAACTTTCCTCGACCTCCTTTCCAACCCCATGTATTCCAGCCGGGACTGCCCCCAAATGCAGTACCGCACCCCTTCGTCCTACAACAGTGGCCATCGTTCGAAAAATCCATTCATGATGCTGTGTTTCGTGGGTTTGAGCAGTACGTTTCCGGCTCATCCCGTTCGGTCTCCAATTGCAAAGGTGGACTTCCATACCTGAAAGCTAAAGACGAAATAAGAACCAGTCATATGCCAGAGAAGCCAGTTAGAATATCTAGAGAAGAAGCCGAAACCTTGTTCTCTACATTTTGTGGCAATGTCAAAGCCTTGCTACAAGAGCAGTCATCAGGGCTCCTTAGGGCACTAGATGAACACAAAAAGTCCTCGGAGGAAAGGACAACCAGCTCTGACATTGCGGCGCAGGATATGGGAAGAGTGATACACTCGACCGAAGCGTTGCGACAAGAGCTTCAGAGTTTGTCCGCCACACTCCATTCTGAGATCAAAGCTCCCATGCAAGAGCAAACATCAGAGATGCTTACGGCACTCAGTGAATACAAAAAGTTGACGGAGGCGACAATGACTACCTGGAGTGTGACAGCGGAGAAGTTGGAGCGAATGGCGCAGTCGATTGAGATGTCTACAGAAGATTTCAAAAGCTTGTTTACACAAGACCGAGCGAAGCAGTGTTCTGAGATCAACACCCTGCTAGCAAAGCAGTTGTCTGAGTTCCAACCTCGGCCGGCACCCGACACCATGGACAAAGCTTCACAACTAATGGAGGAGGTTAAGGACCTTCTGTGTACGCTCCGAGGAGAACGGGAATCGTTGCAAGGGGATCCCGAGCCGACAAGTTCGCAACGCATCAGCGGCCATACCAACGTTGGTAAACCAAGTCGTATCACAAGAGCCCATGCAAGGCGCCTAGCCGGGCAAAAAGATCCACCGGGGCAACGCCTAACGGCAGAAGGGCGAGGGAAAAAAAATCCAAGAACGATCGGAAGGGCCAGGAAAAAGTGATACACAGAGTCACGTGGTCTACTGACAGAGAGTACAATCTTGATCATCGTAAATAGAAATGTTAGCTCAACAACTTTGTGGACCATTATCACTATTGTCGACGCGTCCAACTACTATGTGCTCAATCAATAAAGGACTTCCCAATGGCCCAGTATGAGATGCATGCCAGTGAATGTTTATGTTCATGTTGTTAAAGGTATCGTGACTTGTCTCAGTTTGGCCATTGCCCGCAGCTTGCCTACGTGCTAATCGACCTGGATCTTCAACATCATCTTTCTATACTCATTCTCGGGGAAAAGATCTCCCATTGCCTACTCGGAGATGTCAAGCCTGTACAGCATGTCCTGGATGCAGAAACAAACACTGGTGTCTAGGCAAGTGACTTCACCGACGGGGAATTTCGAGGCACAAATGTGATGCTTCGTCCATTGTCATTCCCAGACAAGTAGCTATGCAGGCCACCTCTGAGAAGCTGCAAGAGACGGAGATGAATGCCAATGTTAGGCCGGGGATGAGAGAATTTCCCTCATGAAACGGGTCAGATGGTCTGTATGCACAGTGCCAGTAGGGGGTAATGCTGTTGGCAACGTTACTAAAGAGCAAATGTTAGCAGTAAGAAATATTAATCAAGATATAAAATGACAGGATAAGGCAAACATAGTTATAAGTGCAGTGTTTTCTGATGGCTAAAATACCTGTCCCGAAACAGGTTTTGACACCGGAAGTATTCTTATCACGGCTCTACTACTAACCCTACGGGTGAGGCCAATGTGATGAATGGCAGGATAGAGAGTTCTGCCAGTTCCTGTTTTTTGTAAGATCAGAGTTAAGCACTAAGAGTAGGTTTCACACCACACTAATAGCCGAGTTCACATGTTACATACGTAAGCGAGGCCCCAACCAGAAGATCCCATTGTTGAGTCCTAAATGGTGATTCTTGATTCAGCAGGTGTTTCTTTCACTTGCAAAACATGATCCACTCAAGGGCCCGATTGCAACTTGTCGGCCTGGAAGCCATTTCACTACTCGCTTTCGCAGACGATGCATAGTGAATTACTGATGTCATGCTCCCAACCGCTTCTCAGGACGCACCAAGATTGGTGGTTCATGTTCCTAGTTCTGTATACTATAACAGAGGCGGCGAAACTCTTTCTCACCATGGCTTTAATATGATCATTAATTACGACTGAATCTTGCACAATGGCACTGCTTACCCTTCTTCCAGAACTTTATTACGATGTTGCTTCTTACCTTACCTGCAGAGATCTATTCAACCTCGGTTTGTCCCACAGGCGAGCACATCAGATTACAGATCATGTACTCTACCTCTTTGACTTTAAAAGAAAGCGCTCCGTTGCCTTGGTTTGGGCTGCTGTCTCAGGCTGCCAAAGAACAGCAGAAAAAGCCCTTGAAACCTACAGGCAAGGATGCCCTGATCATGGCCCTGCCTGCGAGTGTGCATTCCAAGCTAAATTGGTAGAAGCACTTGGTATAGCTTCAATTTGTGAACATGCCGGTATTATCCGAGCGCTTGTGAACAATGGAGTTGATGTGGATGTCCGCCACAGAAGCTTGCCGAGCGCTCTGGAGATTGCAGCAAAAAGTGGCAACTCAGATATCATCGAGCTTCTTCTTGAAGCAAACGCAGACGTCAATGCCACAAAGGCTGGCTTCCCAAGCGCTCTACAATTGGCATGTTTTCACGGCCATCGAGAAATTGTCCAGCTACTCCTCAGCCACGGTGCTAATATGGACGCACAAACGCAGCAGTTCCCACCAGCGTTTCAGGGAGCGGCAAGCAAAGGGCACAAGGAAATTGTAGAGCTTCTCCTCAACAACGGTGCTGAGATTGACGCGCACGACCAAAGATGCTCCACAGCACTTCAATGCGCGGTGGCTACTTGCAATAAGGGACTTGTCGAGCTTCTGTTAGATAATGGTGCTGGTATCGATATTCAGGGTGGAATACTTCCAAAACCTGTAAACATCGCCTCCGCAAATGGAAATTGGAGGATCCTCAAGCTATTTCTTACCAGATACGTGGATGCTCAGGTTCAAGGGGATATACTGGCAAGAGCCCTGGTAGTAGCAGCACTTCATGGCCAGAGGAGAATTGTTCAGCTTCTTGTTCTGAATGGCGCCAATTTGAATCAGCAAATTGAATCATCGGGTGCAGTATTGCTTTCCACGGGCGAACAACTCACAACAGCACTTCAGGCAGCCGCAGCAGGCGGGCACAAGTCTGTTGTTAAGCTCCTTATCAAAAGTGGCGCTGATGTTGGCGCGCCTCATCATCGATCTGTGACACCACTCCAAGCAGCAGCAACTCGAGGCCATAGGGGTATTGTTCGGCTACTGCTTGACAATGGAGCTGGTATAGACGAACATACTCGATACTCCCCTACGGCCATCCAACGAGCGGTTGTCAACGGTGATAGAGAAATGACCGACCTACTCCTCCGTAGGGGTGCTGACGCCAGTCTGCAAGGTGCACGGCTTGCACCCCCGCTGTATATTGCAATAGCCATGGGTCACAAGAGTATTGTTCGCCTCCTTCTAAGCCATGAATCTCACATCAAAACACCGAGCGAACGTTACGGGACCGCTTTGATGCTAATGTTGTCGCTGCGTCATCGTCCCGAAGACCAGGTGCATAGTCATGACGGATCTGTCACGGCGGATTATGACAGCCGTCTTTTACAAGCGTTAATGCTCGAAGATCGACGATATGGCGACGAAGAGAGCAAGTTTGCTGATTAGCGGATGATAGCTAGGAACACCAGAGTAGACTTTTGCGAATAAGACGTACGAAAAAGATTACTAGAGCTTCGCTGATATAGAAGATGCACCATGTATGGCTTGGTGTAGCTGCCTATTTGGGCATTGCGGGCGAAAGGAGCCAGACATACATAACCAAAACACCATCCTTGATGACTTTTAGACTCTCACAATCCACTGCAAGTATCCCTCAGGTTGTAATATATGTTGTATGAAACAAAGGTCACTTGTAGAGAGTATTTCCAACAGATTATATAGAATTTTCGCGTAAGGAGGATAGGCTTTCTGAGTATTGTATCGTGGGAGTTGCTATGAACGTATCTTCAGTCATCTAGCTTTCATGACAGAAACCGCCCGATTTCGGCTTAGGAGAAAGAGCCGAGACCGAAATGTTTGACTTTAGGAAATAAGGGCTGGGAGTGACATCCTCCTTATTCTAGAATAGTGTACAAGTTCCGTGTTTGAAATGATTGAGTCCGTCGTCCAACCTCGATAACCTTTTCACCTTGTCTACCCTGTTCAACCTCTCCAATCTGTTCACTCTGAAGAGCCCTGAAGACATTCCAAAGAATCATCGTCGACCCCACTAGAAGAATAAGTGATTCCATTACAAGTAGAATGATAGACCAACTTGGAAAACGAGCTGAGTGCCAGAGGAGCAGGCCCACCAAGAACTGAATTGCTACGAGGCTTACCAAAGCCATTGGCAACCACAACGAGATATTTGAGCGGTTAGCCGCTTCAAAACGCACCTGAGCAAGGTTGACACCATCCCGCCTACCATTCCTTTGTTGGGTTCCATAGGCAATCGAGAGTATGACAGTGACTATAATGTTAACCACAGCCACTATAGTCGTACCCAATAGGAGCGTTGACGCAAGATGAGATATAGTTTTGTAATCTTGGTCTACGGCGTTTCCTTGGTGGATAACAATGTATAGGCTTAGGCAACCAAGAAAGCCTGCGATGATGCTGGAAACATTACATAATTCAAGTGCTTTAACACGCCAAATAGGAAGTAGGCGGCCCATTGTTGAACATAAAACCTCTACATCATATTAGTGACGGTTCAGTTCTTCTTGCTTTTATAATCCCAGTGAGCGTTGTTAAATAGGGTAGAGTATTCCAGAATATTAATAATTAGCCAATTTATAAATAGCGGTAATGCGAAAATCGTTATAAAAAGAAGGTCTAATGTACACGCTAAGTGAGCATACTACGGGTTGACTTACCAGGATTGAGAACAAAAGGTATTTTACAGCAAGAAATATAAGTTCCTCAAATAATTACAACAAAATAAATATACTTATAATAACAGGTGCTCTATAAATTATACAAAGAAGTAGCAAGAATGATACATTATCTTTCAGCATCTGCCCCCCTGATACATTGCCGCATCGTACGGGTTCAGCGACATCTATCTTGCATATAAATCTGTGACAGAATGACGAGCTTTGGTAATATGTCCTGCGGTGAGGATAAGTTTGGTCGGCGTTGAAGTTGTGATGCAAGCGACGTTTGGCCGTCGAAGCCGAAGGCTAAATTGCCGCGATATTGTACTAGACTTACAGGGCTTTTCAGCTTCAGGTGCAGGATAATATAGATGAAACTTTAGCTAGTGGGGACAAGAGTGTCCAATACGATTTATTACGCCTGGTAGCATATTTTAGTCGAAATGACACTCATCACTAACGTATAGACATATTACATATGTTTTTGACCTTGTCTCCTTGAAGCGTATAAATGTCTTAAGCTTAATAAACGGCCACGCAGACAACCCCTAACCGTGCTCATTGTGCAATGAACTTTGGAACATGCTTAGAAACTTCATTTCCTGCAATCCTAGACGAATCCTTTTTCTTCCTAGTTTCCCCCTTACTCCTCGTTAGTTTGGCCTTATGATTCGTTGTTAAGAAAACATCATGTTCAGGATGTCGCTGAAGTAAGGATTCAATCTTTTCACGGTCGTTGTTGACCTGCATGAGTCTATCGGCTTCTGCCTCGTCCTTCATACCATAAAACGTATTGCCTATCACGAAAAGATTTGCATACATGGGCTCCGTCGTTGATAGGTGTTTGCGAAGAATACCAGCCCACTTGGCTTGTTCATGCCTTGGAGTAGAAATGTCAATGTGATCAAAAGTGAAGGGTATCGGCTTGCATTGCATTCGATAAGACGATCTCACCGCGCTGTTGCGTTGATGTGCAAGAACCGTATCCTTCAGATTGCACTGACTAGCAATCTTATCGGAAGCAATGGAGAGCGAGAGGAGGCCCAAGTTGTTCGCCTGATTGATTGAGTTCAAGCCCCAACCAGAGTGGATGCCCTCTAAACTTAACTCAGCAGACTGCGCGGTTCTTCCACATATTGAGCTTCGTAACGCCACAAGGTCAACGCCTCCGTTTTCGGTTTCCAGTGGATATTCACGATAGATAAAACCAAATAGAGACAGCAAATGACCCACGTCACATTGATCCAGCGCCTCGATATATTCGCCATCATTACCCGAGGAGAGAAGCGTTCCAGGCTGTGATTGGTGGTACATGCTGTAGCCACCCAGCTTCCAGCATGGCTCGTCTTCAATGCCCTCTCGTGAAGTGTCCACCATTTTAAAGCTTCCGCCGGACTCATTGGTAGAAATATAAGTCCGAACAGGTGCCGAAGTAAGCTTGTATGTCGCCATGCTCGTTGCACCATCAGGAGCATTCTCATATCGTAACCGGGGCATGCAGAGTGTGATCGGAATCTTGTATTGCCAACAGAGCCTAATCAAGATTTGCATAGAGGCGGAGAACGATCCCACGATAATAGAGCAGCCATTATGGCGTGGGTTTTTTTTGTTGGCTTTTGAGAAGTGGAACATCTCTCGTGCTTGTTCTGGAAGGGTCTCCCAGGCCCGAGGCTGTGCACCAAAAGGGCTTTCTGGGACCCCATTTGTCAAAACTTCAGCAGAGAGCTTCTCAATAAGCTTGAAAGAAATATGGGTAAATGTTGTACGCAGTGGATACTCGGCATCATAATATTCTCCCATCCCAGCAGCACGTTGTTCCTTGCTTGTGGCGACAAGGACATCTCCCAAACGACGGTAATAAACACTCAAACCGCACTCCATAGTGCTGAGTACACTGAATGATGCAAGTGTCCGCGCAGAGCCAATAAACGTTGTCCAGTCGGGACCTATGAAGTTGATTATCGATTTAATGATGTGTTTGTAACGGTCAGAGTCATCAACATAAATATCTTGGACCTTGAAAACTTTGGTCCAACGTTTGTCTTGGGCGTGCTCGGCGCGATACCCGGTAACGAGTGCCTTAAACGTCTCCAGGAGTTTGCTGTCTCTTAGGTACGTGATGACAATGCGGCGAAGGATCAAGGCCAGGAGGGCGGTCTCGTGACATCTTTCACCACCAACTCTCGCGTCCAAAGAGCCCCAACCGTCTTTTATGACGCCGTTGATAGTCCATTCGCCTGAGACAAGGAGGTTGATGGCGTACTCAAGATCACGCTTCCTAAGAGCGTCCCAAGCATCAATGTCTCGAAAGTGAGCTTTTCTCATCGCTCCATTCAGGTTGCTCATCGAAGGGGATGTGTTTGAACAGGGACGAGGATTGCTTTTATTTGGCTGACTTCCGTGCGCCATGGTAAAATATGGATCTTCCGATTTCAAGTCTGAGATAATACTTGTAGAGGCACGACAGGTTGTGCTGTCAGACCCTTAAGTATCTCCATTGGACACAGGTCTCCGAACAAGTCATACTGAAAAGTTATGTTGGATGGAGGCGACACGGAGAAGATCTTGAACGGGAGCATATCTGAGTTAACCAAGGCCCGCCTGTTAATTAACATACATTCATGCTAGATATACCCATGCTTTTCACTTTAGTTCCTATCTATTTCATGTAGCCCAGAGTCTAGAATATCCACTATTTCTCATTTTCTGTTGGTAAGACTTTAGTGCATGATGCTGGCATTCACTGGTACTCTTGGCTTCCGTATAGCAGTATGTACACGAAATTGAATGAAATCGCTTACAGATAAGTGTTTCACTTTGGTCCATATCATTGGCTGTTGTGGAAAGGCAAGGTCAATCGAAGCTCAGAGAGGCCTGCTTAAGTAATTATCCCTGTGAGAGTTGAGATTTTCAGCAAGACTTGCGAGCCATTCACTGTGTATACTGGAATTACTTTCGGAGAACCGTATCTCAGCGAATAATCGGAAGAAGTGAAATTGTTATAAAGCCAGAAAGACCATTATCCAGGACCACAATATAAAAATACCCAGGTAGCATCATCAACCAACATGCCGCCAAACTATCCTAACTTCGTTTTTGTAAATACCCTACAGAAATTCATACTTCTGCTAGATGACAACTAGTGTCATCATGAATCTTCCATCCCTTGAATCATCATCTTCTCTATCGCGGAAACCCACGAGCGACGTGCAACTGGCGACCAGCAGCGATGAAGATTCCCAAGCGGCCGATATGAAAACTTCCTCATCTACATTCTTCATACGAAGGGTAGTCACAATTGCTTACCTATGCGGTGTGAACGTTACCAGTAATGCATCCAACGGCCTTACGGTTATTGGGCTTCCCCGACTAAAAGAAGATCTTGATCTTCATCCGTCTCTTGCCTTCTGGCCATTGTCAGTATATGGACTGGCCACAGCATCAACTCTGCTCCTCACCGGTGCTATCGCTGATGTCGCAGGACCACGTTCAGTGAATCTTCTGGGATGCATATTTAATTGTATATTTATAACTGCTTGCGGACTCGTTAGAAATGGAGAGCAGCTGATCATCCTGAGAGCCTTACAGGGCCTTGCCGCTGCTCTGCACTTTTCTACCTCTGTGGCCCTTGTTACTCTAGGGCAGCCTCAAGGACGAGGGCGAAACTTATCCTTTGCTTGCTTGGGATTAAGCCAGCTGTTAGGTTTCTCAGCTAGCCTCATTTTAGGTGGCATACTGGTCGACACTATTGGCTGGCGGTGGGGATGGTACCTCTGTGGAGGTATGACCCTATTGCTATTTGCCGTTGGATGGTGGTCTTTACCAGAAGCCACACAGCCTATCTCGCCACGAGCCAAATGGCAAAATATAAAAACACGAGTTGACTGGGTTGGCGGATTTCTCGCATCGTCCTCGATGAGCCTACTAACATACTTCTTGGCGTTAGTTCACCGGCGTTCTTATCTGTTCAAGCACCTACTGATCACGAAACAGCATCATCAGTGCTGATATTGATCAAATTCGATCACCCGGAAGTCTCTTGGCCGTCAGCCTCAGTTTAGTAACTGCCGTTCTTTTTGTTTTCTGGATGCATTTTCGGGTCAAGAACGGCCAGGTAGCCCTGATTCCGAATGAGCTCTGGAAGAACGCTTCTTTTACCAGCATATGTATCACGGTAGCATTGTCATTTGCTGTTCTGAACTCTCTAGATCTTGTGACGAGCCTTTAGTAAGCAGAAACTGAACCTGAGTCACAACATTTTCCCAACTGACAGCGTATGCTAGTTTTCAAGACATCGAGCATCTTTCCGCCCTCGAAGCGGCTATACGCATGCTTCCAAGCACTGTGGTTGGCCTCGCTCTCAACATTACAACGGGCCTTGTAGTTCACAAGATCCGTGCCAACTGGCTGGTCGCTCTCGCTTCTCTCCTGTCCGCTGGCTCGCCCCTTCTTATGGCTTTCATCCAGCCGGACTGGCCTTACTGGCAGTGCGCTTTCCCTGCACAGATCCTCATGCCTTTTTCTGTTGATGTTCTATTCACAGTCGGCCTCATAGTCATAACAGAGGGTTTTCCGGACGAAAAGCAAGCAGTTGCTGGCGCTGTTTTTAACACTGCTGGGCAGCTTGGTAACACAATGGGACTGGCTACCATGCAGGTCATCTCAACATGGGTCACAAAACACGAGAGAGCAAAATCCGCGGCACAAGCTCTAATGGAGGGTTACAGAGCGACATTTTGGACTATGCTAGCCCTCTTGTTGATCTGCACCATTGTAGGAGCAACTGGGCTTCGCCAGGCGGGCAGAATTGGATCAAAACATCATTGAGGAAAAAGATGTGTAACGTGGGGATTATGTCTGCTCATAGTATGTCTCTCTAGTCGCTCAAGAATGCAAAGGGCTCCAGCAAATAGCAAAAGCGCCTTCCTGGGTTCTATGTCCTCGTAATTGTTAAATTCGAATATGGACGGTTCTACGTCCCTGGTAGTGCTTAGGCTACACGGAGGTAGCCTCCAAATACCCCGACCAAATCATGCACTCCTTAAAGCTGGAAATAAATATGAGGTATGCTGTAGAACACTATAGAGGCTATGTAACGAACGATATCAATAGTCTACCATATCATCAACTTGAAAGGTATCGCCAATGTCGAAACATAAATACATCTACTCAGTATCGGAGGTTAACCATGGTAACAAGGTCTTGTTGAACACCATAATGGAACACAAGGCAATCTTCAAATCTTTGTTATGTGAAGCTATTGGTGATACATGCGTCGGCGGATAGCATGGATACCTATGATGGCGAGTTAAAGCAGTGGATATATGTGTTTTCGGCGGCGGTGGTTGTGATATTAAATGGCACAACAAGAGCTGTTCAAAGGAAGTAGGTAACGCCTAATATATTGAATCAGAGAGGGGGGGTTGGAGGGACAAGGGCAACAATGGTTGGGGCCGGCAAGCTAAAGGGAGGATGTTCTCTGACGTTTCTGGGGCTAGAGTGCTTCTGGGCATATGGCTTTCTAACTTATTTGTTTAGATACATCGGGGCGTCAGTTATGCAAGTTTATCAAATTCACAGTGTACAATAACTAGCGTATCATTTATCAGCAATGACTGTTTCTGATTGTGACAGTCTCCACAGCCTCCCTACACCCTTCAGCCACACAGGTCTCATTCTGTCTTTCTCCATATCATCTCTTCTCATCACTTATAAATATCATGATAGCAACAGTAATTTCGGCCAAAATGTGGTCACACCGTCATTCTCTGACCACAGATGAACAAGCATCTTGCAACCTCATCATGCATAAAGTTGACTGGAAAGATTCGACTCCTGAGCGCCGGCTTGCAATTATGAATCTCATCGAGAAATATCCCCATATTCCCCACCCCGCCGGTGATGATACTGCTGAACCACCCTCGTCCTCAGTGCCTCCGAGTCAGCGGCCTGACATCCCAGGCATGTCATCCGATGTGTTTACACAGCCAGCTTGGAATGCTTCCAGCAAGACACGCAAAGCCTGGAGAGAGGGGTGTAAGTACAGGGCTACCGGCTCGACTCGTGTTCATGGCAACGTCCTGGCTGATATTGAAGTACAGGTCCACCCGATCAGTTCCAATATCAAGAGCAGGGAATTCCTTCAACACCACGGTTAAAGAGAATCGTGGCACGTCTGCCGACGTCCAGTCCACCGGATGTCCGTGAAACGCAACAAATACCTGCTCTAACCCCATCAATCCCCCAGACAGTGACCCCTACTACTTCTTCTCATGTCTACCCAGTACCATCACCTCCTCCGATGAGCTCAAACCGAGCCACCACTGAGCTCAACAAGCTTCTCTCTGAACTGGAAGAAGCACGCAACCGCTTCCATCGATTGCTTCCTCAAACCGTGGACGCTCAAGCGGAGATGGAACGATGTGAGACTAAGGTCAAGCAATTTTACATGGCTAATGGCCCTGGTGTTGTGAGCAACCAGTAGGGGAAGAGGAAGGCGAAGAAGACACGGGAGAGAAAAAGAGGGCTGAAAACTCTAGATGAGAGTGAATATTTGCATCAGAAGATTGGTTAATACTTGCACTTACCCAGGTCACTGAATACAAGATAAAAATGGCCCTAGGTCACACGTGTGGACTACCGCCTGTGATGCCATACGTTGCAGATGTGCTTACTTTCAACAGTCACTCGTCCTTGACCGTCTGTTCTCCATCACACCGCTCAATAATCTATTCGTCAAACACGTTAATTCAAAGCTATTGTCACTAATCCGCGGTGTCATTCCTTACAGGTTACTTGTACGTGTCTCCACTGCTCATCCAAGCAATTGTCCACGATGAGTGTTCTTCGTCCGACCTCAACCCCAAATCTATCGCGCCGACGTTCACTTTCATGACTAATAATCAAGATTGAACTTTGACCCTCGTCTTTACAAATTGGAACAGTACCTTTTGATGTTACTATATTCAGGCGCATACAAGTAACTTGAACGTGCCAGCTTATTGATTGTTACAGTAAAGAAGCTTCTGGGGCCGAGTTCCACCCTACGGTCTTACGCTTATACGTAGCTTTGCTGCTTCACATAGTGACTCACACAGACCTTGATTTATAAGCTTCGGCCTGTCTTATGGTGTGAAAAGAATAGAACTTCTCCATACTAGAGCGTTTTGGCATGCGTTTGTCCCTTTGTTCGCCGACTTTTCTAGTCGGCTTATCTTTCACTTACGATATCTTCAAAATATAAACTCAGCGCACATCTCTCGGAAAGTTTGTGAATGGGTTTACTGATCATACTGGCTTACGTTATCGAAGAGATCAGTAGAAAACAAAGAGCTGATTAATTCACTATTTAAGGCAGCTCATTACTGTGGCTTCTGTAAAACAAATTAACGTACACGATAAGCATGCCGATCAGACAAGCATGCCGATCAAAAATCTCAACCTTCTTTAAATAAATCGCAATAAAAGCACCATAAACCATCTAATTAATTGATTCTAGTTACTATACTCATCTCCAGAGGCCTCAATTCCCTCCTGACAGGTTCTTGCATTATGTCCGGTCTTACCGCAATTTCCACATCGCCGA